ATCTCCTGTGAGTATCTTACACTCAAGAACGTGAGTGGATAGCTTTGTCACAACCAATCGTGTCCCATTACACAAACCCATAGAATGATCCATGTTCCGCAACAACATGATTGGAGTTTCAATCTGCAAATACAACTCATGGTTCGGTATTCCGGAACATTTGATACTATTCAAAAACTCAGGCGTATGGAGATCAGACAAAAAATAATTATTAGAATCCGATTTGCACGTACTGTCAGAGCTCGAGTACATACGACCATCCAACAAATTCAATGATGTCATGTACTCATTGATAGATTCGACCACATCCAACGTCGGCGCTAATATAGCCCTATCCTTCAAATAACTTGGTTCGTCGGGTGCCTCTTTATACATTGGATATGTGCTTTCAATGATCTGAGCAATAGGATCTACGTTCGGACTTCTATTTTATAGCGATGGGATAAAAGTTGATAACTATTAGATGATTTTACATGATGAGTTTGAATAAATCCAAACTCTGATATATATGATGATGATGATAAGATTAGTTGGACTCACTTTAATCTCTCGTGATAAAATTTATCGCACGTGATTTTAAATTAAGAGTTTCAATAAATTCAAACTCTGATATGATGATAAGATTAGTTGGACGTGATTTATCAGATTACTTGTACGTGATTTTAGTTGGATGTTCAATAAATTAAAATTGTGAATAATCTGATATTAACGTCTCGTGATTTATCCACCGTGTGATTATTATAACAGATAACAATTTAATATATCATACTATTTATTATGTTTTTTAAATGAATAACATTAATATAAATAAAAATGCGGCTTTTCATAATATTAACATGAATTTTTTTTGCGTGCGATTTTCTTTGAACACAAATGATTATTGTTCCAATATTATATCTACACCATTAAATTTAAATTCAAACAGTGTTTTTCGATCAATAAAAAACCACACCAATTTTGAATTCAAATTGAATTCAAAGAGTGATTTTCGGTCAATAAAAAACTACACCAATTTTGAATTCAAATTGTGATTTTCGATAATTAAAAAACTACACCATTATTGTTTTCAAGCCTTCTATAAATAGAATGTCAAAAGTATTATTTAATTGGTCAAAAATTTTCAAAAAGGATTTATCCAACAATCTTTTTATATATAGATAGATATTAAATGGTATATGAAAGTTGCATAAGTCTAAAAAAGTTATATTGTGAATATTTTTCTTCAATTTATATTCTAAAAATAATATTATCTTTTTTTTTTCTCACCAAGCTATTGTTTTTTTAAGTAAACTAATTGATTGTTTTTTTTTAAGTAAACTAAATGATTTTAATGGTATGATCATACCCTTAAAATTGCCTTAGCAATTGTTATAATAACAAATTAAATATGTTTCCAACTAATTAATTGGTTACGATCCTAATACATTTTATCCAATCAATATAGTGATTCATATACAATTAAATAGTTTTGTTTTATTGTTACTAATGATCAAATATTTAGAAAAAATAATATTATCGTATAATTTTTAATTTCAACATCATACATATAAAATTATAAAATACTTCATTTATATATGTGCACTTGAATATAATCGGATGCTAGTTAAATCATAAATTTTGACATTTCAAACCTTTACTTCATCACAAACATCTAATTTAACTTGAAAAACGCTCATGTGGACCATAACAAAGCCACTAAGAAAGATTACACGTGCGAATCCTTTAATGACATTAATTTTGGCATAATTGGTGATACAATTCTTTAGTGTGCGACCATATAAATTAGCAATATTTTTAATTCAATGATTGTAGCATATATGAATTTACTTATATTATATGCAATAATTACTAAATATTTTAAATTCGTCATTCAACTAAGTGTCCTTTTGGCGGCGCCCCTCTCACCCTTCTAAATCGTCAGGCCATTAATCAATTTGAGTAGATAATAATCATAATATTAATCAATTTGTTAAGCTGTTTTTTTTTTTTTTTNTTCTTTAATGTGACGATTGATAGCTAGTTGACCTTTTAATTTTATTAGTGTTACACGAAGAGATAATTCATTGGTCAGATAAATTTAGTACGTAATTAACTACGTAACAACTCGAAGTGTGAACCAGTTAATTTAGTTCATAATTCAATCACACTTTCTATTGAAAATTTCATACGATTCATCTATTGGTATATATGGAAGTGAACATCGTGTCCTTTTTATCTATATTATACTTGGCATATTTAGAATTGTATAAATGTAAAGTTATATACTAGGTACAATAATCTATTTCTATTTTAATAAGTGGTTCTCATGACTAAGTACAATATCCAGTTATTTGGGCCGGTTCCTAACAGCTGATGTATGGGCTTTGGACAATTCAATCCTATCTTTTACGGCTTGGATCCATCTTACGTGTACGGCCACGTGGACCCACTCAGTACCTCACAGATGAATATTATTGTTGTCAAAGGTTAATACTTAATTGGTAGTTCAACATTCGACATAGGTATTTGCCAAAACTTTTGTTTAATCAACCAAGAAGCATAAATTAAATAATATAAGCTTGTGCAGTTAAAAGGTGAAAATAAATTGGCCACGACTTAAATTTTTCAGAAAATAATTTTGCATTTCATTAAAAGTTGCATGTAAAACGAGTCGTTCGTGAATTCAAGTTCTCATTTGTATTTTAATTAAAACTGTTAAAATAATAAGTCTTTCTTGAATTCGTGAACTCAAACTCAGCTCGATTATTAACATTTTTAATTTCCAAAGCTCGAGCTCATCTAAAAAATTGTAATAAAAATAAAGATGCATATTTTATTTTTTTTTCTCAACTAAAATGTGTGAACGAGTTTTTCACCAATGGAGAGCTTTAAAAAGTTGAGCACATATTGGTATTTTTGTAATTGTCTTTATATCTTCACCCATGAAGCCAATTATTACAAATTGGAGTTTAGTTCTTGTTGAGAAGAAAAAAAATGTGCAATTTCTAATATAACAATATATAGAAAATATATATATAAAGAAAATCGATTATATCAATGTATGCAAAATGTTTTCTCTTATGATTGCACAGTTACACACCCACAAACTAGTAAAGTGTATACGATGTCAGAATTATAGAGCAGAGGATAAGATTGAATTTTCTCTTATTTATTTATTTATTTATTTTGTTAGTGACCCAACAATCCTATAACCTTTGAAGTTGAGATGCATAATGTGAGGCAACCAACCATATTCCAATCCTTCTCTATGTTGGGTTGGGTACACTCACAACAACACGTGGACACTAACGTAATTACTTTATTGTATTAACAAAGTAATTACACCACACAATATAGATCAAGATACAATACTTCACTTATCAAGACTAAAACACACTAACTATGACACTCACACACTATTTTACTTAGACTCTTGGATGCTTGGAATATTGGGTTTATTTGCAAATGAGGTGGTATTTCCTATTTATAGCCACCCCTTCCTCTAAAGAACTATCTAGAACTACTCACATTCAAGGGGCTTCCCTAACACTCTTGCCATTTCTAGACTATTCTAAAACTTACTAATATTATGTATAATGTTCTAGACTCATCCACATAAGTCTGGTTCCTACAATATTCCACAACCTTCTTGTAGTCTCTATTACCTTCTAAAATTTTCTACGTCCTTCCGCTAGCTTCCACAAGCTTCTCAATCCTTCTACAAAATTCCGGAACCTTTCACATTTTTCTGGATCGTTCTAGATGCTTCCAGAACCTTCCACAATGTTCCACGACGTTCCACGTTTTTCCAGATTGTTCTAGATGCTTTCGGGTCCTTTCCAAAAGGAGGTGTTGATATTTTAACACTCTAATCATTGGCATGTGATCCTTAACATTTTCTAATGATAATATTTGTAAATGTGAGCGTGCAAGAATTCTGACCACCAAATTAATCTTATGATGATCCCCAAAAACATATAATAACAAGGACACTGCGAACAAAAGTCTTAAATAATAAATTACCAAATTCATTGATTTTGTAGTTTTGCCAGATCTTATATCCTTTCAATTTATAATATTTCTATTCAAAAATATTGAGAACAATCAATCAAGGCTACACAGATCTCACGAAGTTAATTGTTGGCTCTTTGGATTTGCTTTTGTACTTCATTATTATTATTATTATTATTATTATTATTATTTGTTGTTGTTGATGTTTGATTTCATATATTGCTCCATTAATTTTGTTTATATCTTTTCGGAGTTTATGTTTATTTTGGGTTTCAAATGCCATATCATACTAAATAAACTTTATTTAAGTACAAAAAATATAAATTAACTAAATAAATTATAAACTCTAAGTTCGTCTATTCATTCGAAATTTTTAATAGATTTTTTTAAGATTTCTAAGAATTCACGTATTTAACTTTGAAGTTTTTAAAAAAATCACGAGATATTTTATTTATTTATCAATGATAATTATTTGGACTTTTGAAGAGTTAATGAGATTGCAAAGACAAAATATATATACAAAAATTTAGCTCAAATCTCACCCGTAGATGTAATGTTTAAAAGAATTTCAGTAAAATCGATAAATGCAATAAATACGTTAAATATAAAATTTTTAAAATGTCACTCAAAAATTAAAAAAAAAAAACATAAAATAAAATTAAAATGTTACACAAAATTTTAAACGGGTATGCAGTGCTGAGGTATATTTCTGTTGGCCTTGCTACTGATTTTTCCATAGCTTGGGCTTAGATTATGGGCTTATATAACTTACATAAGCCCAAGTTATTAACTCAGACTCAGTAAGACCCGATGGAATTTATTTGATGACGATGGTTCATCAATTATGCTTGATACGCGGTATTAAACTATTTCCAACCAATAGCCTGATTTTTTTTTTTAATTTTTTTTTTTTTCAAACGTCAAATATATTAACTAGTGTAAATACGAAACAATGAAATTCTATTGGTCTTATTAAAAAAAAAACGAAATTAACAAATAACAACTAAGTCCAAATATTAATGAATATATATTAAGGGTACATAGTATTGGCACAAGACAAATTTGGTCCAAAAATAAAAAAAGAAAATTAAACAACTAATTGAGCTTTGATGTTCATATCACTTCATGGGGGCAAAAAAACATCTTAAAAATGAAATTGCATATATGTAATCACATATCTGCATGAAAAACCACCTTTCAGTCCATTATCATGGCATTTTTCCGGTCATCGACTGGCTCGAGTTTGGCTACTTTTGTCTTCCCAGAAAGATCGACAGACGAAAATCTGTTATTATTTTCAGTTATGTATACAACTTTAGAAGTGACAAAAATAATTTTATGACAAAATAATTAATTTTTAACTAAAATTATATTTACATAAATAGTCATATTATAAACTAAGCATATGATTAAATCATAAATTGGCTCATTAACTTACCCTAAACGCAAGGAAGTATCAGAAGTTCCTTCTTTCTCAGATAAGCTGCTCGAGCTCGTGTCTTTTCCAATTTGCAGACGATTTTCGCTACTGCTCAGTCTCGCGTGGTGTCGAAGCTCTTCAATCTACATTTTAATTTTTATATAGTTTTCAATTGAATTATGCTAGTTGCATATAATCCTAATGGGTTTATTAGCTAATTAAATATAATAAATTAATTTGCATTGCAAGTGAATCTTTGGAGTTTTTTTTTTTTTNGCATGGACCATAGTAATTAGTTAGGTATTACATTAATTGAAAAAATGTTCATTTTATTGGGGTTAAAGTAAAAAAAACAAAATGAACTTAAATAAAGAAACCTGCAGTTTGGATTTTTCAAGTTGCTCCAGGAGTACTTTCTCCTGAAATCAATCAATTAAGAACAAAAAGTTAGCAGCATTTCATATCACAAAATTTCTATCTAATATATAGTACTCATTTGTTTAGAAACAAATTTTGATAGAAAAAAAAAAAAAAAGTGATTTCAATACCCCTTACAGAGTTTACAACATTTTAATTATTTAGGATAAAATTAAATTTAAAAGGGAAAATGTTGTACATACTTTCTTATCCTTGACTGACAGAATTCCTTCAGTAAGCTGTTGCTCCAAGTTGTGCAAATCATTGTAATTTAAGCCTTCAAGCTCCTTGCCCATCATTTTGCTTCGCCATGCACACAATAAACTAATTACTTTTTAATATTAAATAAATAAATAATAAGAGTTTCTAATATTTTTGTCATATTAATATTTTGGACACTTGAATTTAAAGATTGAATAATTGTAGCTACGAAAATACAAAGGTAGGTGAAATTTAATATATCTAACAAAACTGATTGAAACGTACCGATTAATCGATTGAAGCCTTTCGATTTCATCCTTCAGGGCGCTTATCTCAGCCGAGTCGTTCTTCAAAAATAAAATAGAATAAAAAATAAAAAAGATCAAAAGAAACTAAATTAGTACTTTGCAATAATTAATATTTAAATTGGGGATTATACATTTATATGATATAGATATGAATAAACGATCATATATAATTTAGAGTAACAATTTTACCTGAATTGGAGAGTGCTCAACTGTTGCAAGTTCAGGACCTTCATTGTTTTGGTTGTACCTTGACAAAATTTGCTCCATACTACAAAAACAAGTGAATAAAAAATTATGAAAATGTAGAGAAAGGATATTAAATTTGAGCTCTCAAAGAATTTGATGTACAAATGTTGACCAATGTATATTTGAATGTTTGTCATTGGGCCTCTCAACTTTGATTGTTTGCAATGTCATAGTGCAAATGACTCTTGTTTATTAGAATTCAAAAAATGAATATATAAAAGAGTTGTATTTCAATTATTTGTAAGCATAAAATAGGTATTTTTGAAAGGGATGCATTACTTTATCATATCATTTCATAAACAACGGTGTAAACGAGTCAAGACGAGCTAAACTCTTTAAGTTAATGAGTCAATAAATGCACTCAGAGTCGAATTAATTTAACAGATGGTGAAATTATGTGAAAACACCAACTTTTCAAGTTAATGAGCCGAAACAAACCTCTCATGAGCTCGAGTCTGTTTGTCAACTAATGAAATTGAAATTCAGCTCGTCTATTAAATAAGCCAAGTCAAGCAGAACTAACGTTTCGTATAATAATCATACATCATTACTCATACATGATTGAATCCTAATGAGAATTATAAGACACGAAAGACCCCTAAGATAATTTTTCTTCTCCTTCTATCCATAGTATTTATCTAAAATAATAGTAAGTGAAAAAAAATATATTTCACTTTTATCTTATAATGTTTTGCTAACATGGTTAATGAAATCATATACAGTTATGCCTTAATAATCATCGGTTTCAGCTGAATATGATACGACTTAAGCCTAGTCCAACTAGGCCCAATTTTGGCACAACAGTTTTTCAGTTAGCCCATCCCATTATAGGCTGCTTAACCATATGTGGGCATGGCCCACTTGGCCCAATACTACACAACATATTTATTTGCCCAGCCCATCTTAGCATATAATATTATATTGCTTCGGCTTAGACAATTTAAGAAATCTTCAACAGAGAAACTAGAATATTAAATATTTTCTATAATTCTAAAGAAGGAAGTACTCTTTTTATTTTATTTTTCTTTCTTTTCAGTTATTTTTGTTTCCCTTTCTTTGTCTTGCTCCCAAAGGCTCCCAAAACAAATCAAATCCTTTTCAATATGTAATTAGCTAACAATAGGTTCATCTTTTGATGAACAAATCACATTAAATTTGTATTTTAAATCCAATTTGTTATCATTAACGAAAATAAAAATCTTGCAAATTTTTTTACCGAATCAACACCCAAATACATATATAAATGCATATTGANTCTCAATTTTTCCTCTGCCCATTTTTTTTTTTTTTTTGATGTATATAAAATAAAATTCTTGATTTTATTCTTCCTTACAGCAAACAGAAGAGCCTTACTAATTTGCTTATCGCAATTGAAATATATGTATGTGTGTGTATATATATAGAAGAGTAGGGTAAAAATAATATAATTTTTTATTTAATGCATTTGTCCTATATATGGAGATAGAAAAAATTGGGTAGGATAATTATTAATGGAATTAAAAATTTAAAATTATATATATATAAAAACAGATATGGTAAAAGGCAATTCCTATTGGTTGAAGGTTACTATATGGGATATATATGAAGAGTCCCTTGTATATTACAAAAACCGTTTTCTCTTTTTATCTTTATTATTGTTATTATTATTCAATTTTATTTATATTTGTTTACTGTCAATTTTTTTTAATAATATTTATTCTGTTATTTTTAAAATTAGGGTTGGATGTGGGGGCGGTGGATTGGGGGATCTTTGGCAATGAAGGCAAAGGTTGTGAAAATTGGTACAGAAATATGAAAGGTGTGTGATGGGTTTACTATGTGTAGAAATATTTACCTCATGTGGTAGAGGCAAATTTTACCTTATTGTGGTGGCAATTACCAACTTTGGGACATGTAATTTTAAAGTATGATTATTTTTACTATTTTTCTTGATAACAAAAGCATAAAAAATCCGAGTCGCGAATACCAGAAAAGGCAGGTAGTAATAGCATTCATTGGTGCTGACTCGTTTGGACTCCATATAATAAAACCACATAAATAGCTAACGGAATTTTTTTATTGAACAGTTGTATGAAAAATAGGTGTAGATGTTGTACAGGTGTGAACGTAACTCGTAACTGATGCCAGCATGCGTAACACGTTTAAGTGGAGGTTCGAAGGGCTTTTTTTCGGGTAGGTGAATTTATTTTCTCAGTCAGCTGACTTAAATTTTTGTTTTCACGAATTGATTAATTCATGCCTGGTACTAAATTGAATTCGTTATTACGTTCGAATTTTTACGTTTGATTCGATTGTGTATGTCTAGTAATTCTACTTTTAATATTATTGGCTTATAATAGATGAAAGATTTATGATATTATTATAAGTTTTTGCTTCCATTTTCTCTCCCTTCCAAAGAAATCCAATAAAATTTACATATTTTGTATGCTTTTATAAGTGAAATAGATATAAATGGGGTATAAATATAATAGGTGCATTTTCTTGTTTTGGCTAGTTAGAGTGAATTTCTCCTTGTGGGCTAGTGAAGGCAAGGGGGAGGAAAAGTAGAAAACAGGATAACCAAATATGGGAAATTTAAAATGGAAAGGAAATAAATGATGGGTTTGGACAACCCCAATTTGGTGCATAGCCATTTGGTAGAGGCTTACTATGTTTGATAATACATGTGAAGAATCCTTTGTGTATATCTTTTACCTTTGTTAGGGCTCTCTATATTCTATTGAAGCAAAGGTGAAAAAAAAAGGGTTATTGTATGAAATGTGATATTTGTAAATATATAAACTAATTTATTGTGACACCCCATTTTAACTTACTGTGGTGAATTTTTCCCAGGTTTGTATTGCTGTGATTCCTGTGGGAGTTGGAAAGTGTTTGAAATATCATTCCAAAATTGTAATAAGCTGATTGAATGGATGTCACAGTTTCCATTAAAATATAAGTGCTATTATATAATAAAAAATAAAGGGTTTTACTATCTCATTTTGATTCTTGAGAGAATCTGTAAAATTATTTTTAAAACTTTCAACCATTTAGAGGTTTAATGTAAAAATATGCTAACTAGTTTGTTTGGTAAAAATCTAAAAAGATTTGTTTCATTAGCTTTTTGATTTAAAACGCTAATTTAAAAAAGCTCAATTTAGCAGCGCTTTTTAAAAAGGTAATTCATAAAATAACACATTAACGTAAAGTTTACAAAACAACTATACAAATTATTACTTATCAAATACTTATTTTAAAACCGCTAATGCAATCTCATGGTCAAATCAATTATTACAATTTTGTTATTAGTTATCTGCTAATGTAATCAAACTTACTTATACGATACCCGTGTATTACACGAGTACTTAAATATATTAATATTTGACCAATAAAAATTTAAAATTATTTATATTTTTATTGTGAAATTAAGTATAATGAACATACAACAATCACTACAAGAAATTGAAGAAATTCCAACGGAAATATATTCCAATAGGATTCTAACGGCAATTCCAATGGATATTTCAATTTTATTATTTCCGTTTGAATTGTTCCAAAAAAAATATTCCGTTTGAATGAGTTTTTCATTGGAATTTCCGTTGGATTTTGCTTTCAACGGTGGTGGAAATAAAAATTTCAACAGAAATTCCTACGGTCAAAAGTCGTTGGAATCATCAAATTCCATCTAAAATTCCAATGAAAAATACATTCCAACAGAAGGAATTTACGTTGGAATAATTCCAACGGAAGCTATACCATAAGAATATCCGTTTGAATTTCCATTGGAATATATTACCATAGGATTTTCCATTGGAATATAACAATTTTTTGTAGTGAATTAACAAGGTGACGATTAAATCAATATGACGCCCGCATTTATTCACTAAATATGTTAGAAATGATATTTTTTAATTATATTTTTGACATTATATATGTCTAAAACAGATATTATTTACAGCTCCATATATCTGATTCAAAATTTTTTAAAATAAAACAAGTTTTATTGTATTGTGATAATATTTTATGTTTATAGATTCGGTGTCCCTCGTTTATTAATTTTTCAAGTTTTAAATTTATATAATTTAATAATTTAGAATATTAATTTACGCAGAAAATTATTATTTTATAAGTTCATGAAATGCAAAATTATTTTACTATATTTAATTATGATATCTCTTTATATTTTATATTTTAAACAACATAATAACATTTAGTTCTTTTTATAATATATTTAAATCGGAAAAACAATATTTTATAATACTTTAATTTCCATATTCTATCCAAAATCTATGGAAAAAATACATAAAATTATTTATTTTATGGTGTATTGATGAATTAGATTTTTTTTATTTTTATAAAATAATTTATATTTTTATTTGATATTTTATAAATTTCTTTGATAATAAAATTATTTTATTTTATACAGATAGATGAAATTATTTTATATTTTATATATGCAATATGGATGTCAAACCGAAGATCGTTAAAATATGATTATTTCAAGATATCATAAATAAAATACAAAATAAAAATAAAAAAAAAGTTATACAGTTTTATATATAAAAAAGAATTCAAATTCAACAAAGCCCAAAAGTGTGTCTCATCAAAAATATACTAGTGCGTGGCCCGTGCGAAATGCACGGAAAAACAATATTACGATTGTATTGTAAATTAAATATATAAATAACATTAATCATGATATATCCATTGTTTTTAAATTAAAATGGATTGGACACAGTCCGATCGGATGGACCGAGAACCGGTTTATAACCAGTCAAGTTCGCTTGAATAAAATATTTGCTCTCGAATATGTCAACACCAGTCAGTTGGACTGGTAGGATTGATACGATTTTTTAAATAAATTTTGTTATATTTAAATTAAATATTTAAATTAAAAAGAGATTTATAAATTATTTATCAATTAGTTTAAACGTTTGAATTTATAATTGTCTAGATATCTAAGTGACACATTTAATTTAAATTTATTACAAAATGTACTATATATATATCTATTAAATGTTTATAAATTAAAATCTGAACAAACCACAAATGATTTAATAAAAGATTTAATTTTGACCAATTAAATCTTTATTTATAGACTTGACATTAAAACCGATTTTATGGTATTTTTTTTTAACTAAACCAATGTTATGGGATAAAAAAAATCTTTACCCACCTTTGACTTTTCCAGCAAATGTAAAAAAATTGGTTTTGATTATCTCATAACAAATCTTTAATGTCAAGCTTATAAATACCAAAACAAATTTGTAATTAATTTCATTCTGATTACAGCAAACATTAATTACCTTTAACTTTTCTGCCTACTATTTTTAGTAAATAGGATGACTTTTTATATAAGTATAGATTGCAAGACTGTTGCAAGAACAAATCCATAAATGCAATATTTTTCCTTTTGTTTTTTATATTTCTCTTCTAAATTCAGCTGACTTATATCTTAAGGATCTTAGAGAGGATTTCTATAAGTATGAAATTATGCTGTAATTTATTTTTTCTTAACAATATTATTTTCATTTTGTTTGGCTACAAGTTGATATCGAATAGATAATTATATTAGTGGATGCTTGACAACGGGAATGCAACAGCTATTTGACCTAACATATTATAATATCACCCTTATATATATATATATATATATATATATATAACTAGTACGTATCCCCTGCGATAATGAGTTATTTTCACACCTTGTCCGTTTAAGTCTAAAAAATAATATGGTTATTATTTATTTTCTACCTCTTTTAATCAATGTTAAGTCTAAGAAACAATGAGGTTATTATAAGTTTTTTTTCCACATCTTTTAACCAGCGTTGTTTTTTTAGCCAAACATTAAATATGAGCATGTTAGGGCTAGCTTGTAAAATAATTAATATATTATCTCACTAAAACATTTATACTAATAAAAATTTAATTGTAGCATATAAATTTATCCCTTGATATAAGAGAAAGTAACAATTTTACTTATTGTTGTTCACTATATAATATTTAATTATTATTTTATTATATAATAAAAAAGAATACTGTTAAATAGTGTAGTAGAATTGTTATAAAATTATATGAATTATTTTTTTTACAATCTGGATTTAATATCTTTTTATGATTTGATAATATAACTATAATATATTCTTAATGATATAATATGAGATACAGATTTACATAATACTATTGATTTATTCCTTAATGTTAAGATATTGAATTAGGTAATGTATGATTCACTAATTTGTAATCTGTCTCTTTTTATATTGAAAATAATCATGTGATTGAGTAGAGATAACAATTATCTATAAATTCCTTCATTAAGGAATAATTTTTAAATTGGTCCAAGTGTTGAATGCAATCCGATTTTCTTGTAACTAAAATGAGAAGAAATTTTGAAATATCTAAAACTTTTTAAATATGGTGTGCAATTAATTAGGAGTTGACTTTTCTTCCTACTAATTTAGTAAATGAGATGACTTTTTACATAAGTATAGATTACCGAATACGCTGAGTCTAAGTGACAGTCTCGTGTGCTTCGTAAGTTTATTTGTCATAAATTTATGTTTCGTATTGACAAATGTACAGATTTGATTTTTACTATTAGGGTTGGGAATTGCTATAAACTATTTTAGTTTTTTTTAGGTTACCATATATCATTCTTCCATTTTTTTTATTTGGTGGAAAGCTAGGCTCACAGCTTGGACTCTGTATGGACCCATTCTCCCGACCGCTGGTCGGTCTCCCTAGGTGGGCTTGGAGGTAGCTCGGATGCGGCGTCGATATCCCGGATGAATGTGGGGATACCTCTGGGTAGAAAAGGTCTAACCAATCAGCTTTGTTGGCCCAATCAGCAATGTTTGCTTCAATGCTATCAATTTTTGCAATTATTTAAAAAAACATGACTATGCTTATAACTTAAATTATAAATGTACAACAATAGGCTAGAGATGAAACCCAAGAGTATGGAGTGATCAACAATAACAACAACATAACCTTTTAATCCCAAGCAAGTTAGGATAGGCTAGAGATGAAACCCAAGAGTATGGGGTGATCAATTTATAAAAATTAAAAAGACTGAGTTATACATTGGAAAATTTTAAAGGTATAGATTAAATTGAAAAAGTCACTAAAGTTGGATATTTAGGTACATCTAGTATCCTTTATATATAATTTTCGAATTTGTTGAGATTAAGTGATAGGCTCTTCTATATATACAATTGAGTAATATTATCTCATGTGAACAATTTGAACTAATCTGCATACGCACACAATATTTTAGTTCTTATAATTTCATTATGAAGTATAGAAAATGATGCATATTTGATATTTCATACTACTATATTTTCAGACATAGTAAAATGGAAATTAACGCAGAGCTTAACTTAAAAAATTTGCAATTTCAATCTTTGACATTGTCCTCCAAAAGGAAACAAATCTCTACAAATCTAATCAGTTGTATTAATTTTAAATAATTGCTCCCAATTTACTAATTACGCATTTTCACAAAAGGATAAAATTATTGAAGTTTATGGTAAGAAATCTTGTTTTCACTTTTCAGCAAAGGCCCAACTCCCAAGTCCAGATCTCAACCCGAACCTAAAGCCCACGATCTCGCAGCTCGTAAATTAACGGCCCAGATCAATCCTAGCCCTCGCCAAAATTGAATTCAAATTGAGTAGGTAACGTTACGATTTTCCGAGCCTCAGGTTCGGCTTACCCGAACCTAAAGAAAATCCCCAAATAAAGTAAATAGAGAGCTTTGATCAAAAGCTTCATTCCCTCAACTGAAAAAATTTCCAAGTTTGATTGCCAAAAAGGCAAAAACCCCATTTTGTCTTCAGTGTCTCTTTCTACAATAGAGGGAAATTTGTAGGGTTTTGTTTTGTTTGTGATCGGGCCAAGTTGTGGAAAGAAATCCTTCGAAGTATGTTTTATTTGGATGTTAGATATTGTATATTTCAACATTCATGGGCTTTGTGCGTTCATACATTTGAGTTTTATATGATTTCTTATGTTGTCTGTTACGCTGATGGACTGATATCAGGGTTCATTTCTTATTTCTCTTTGTCTTCTTTCCTTGTTT